TCCCTACACTGCTGAGCATCCCCCAGGCCCAATGCTCAGTATCCCTGCAAATAAGGCCATCAGCCCTAACATTTGGGAGCTATTATCCTGGAGCAAGCAGAGCACGGTATCTAACTTTGTATAAGAGAGTGAGGTGGGAAGAAAGCCCACTGTAGGCCTGGGGATGTGGGCTCAGTGCCTCTGAAAAATACCAGCCTTACCCTCAGAGCCTGAATAGATGCCTGCTTTAAGCTGCTCGTGTTGAACATTTTGGCCTCCTCATATTTTTAGGAACAAAACAAACAATTTCTAGCAAAGGCCCTTGATGCCAGCTGGTTTGTCCTGTGATGCTGCCACTTTGTCTGGTTATGAGAAAGGAAAACAAGCAAATATAGTCCCCTGCCTGTCTGTGGCACGAGCACCCCTGGGACATGCTGTTCCTTGCAGGATTAGGAGCAGAGCTCGAGGAACGTTCCTAATTAAGGTAATGCCACCAGGAAAGCCTTGGTTACCAGTAATCCCAGTCTAGCTGGGAATGTTTCTGCCGTTTCTAGGCAGTGCCTGTGACGACACGATCAAGGCCGTTTGGCGAGAAGTTTGGGGTTGGGTCGCTCCCTTTAAAGGCTCTGTGGGGGAAGGGATAAGTCAGAGCCAAGCGAGGATGGGTTCCCAGAACATGTCACCCGGGAACCTCACTGTTGCCTTTGGCCTCTTTTGCTCTCCCCCTAAGTCTTCACAAAATACTTCAATTAGCTCAATTTCTCTTGCCAAGTGGCTTTTTTCTGCAGGGTGAACATGACTGCTGAGTCACAGTTAGGACTTTACCCTTTCCTGCCTTTTACCTGTGCTTGAAGGCAGGCGCCCATCCGGGGCAGCCACAGCCCTTCCCGGACAGAATGCTTTGCAGCTGATCTCCTGAGGCCTAGGAGAGCCCCAAAGGTGGTTTTTCTTGGGAACCATCGTCCTGGCAGCTTCCTGCTCTATGTTCTTCTGCCCCGTCTCTCCCATCTTCCTAAATCCTCCCACCAACCACCTGCATGCCCTCGCCTGCCTCCACCCTTGTCTTGCACATCACTTGGAGGGAGGACGCCAGTCCATATAACCTCACCCTCCTACCCTCCACTCCAAGCCTGAGGCCCTCCAGCATGCCCCCATTTACTTTCTCTATTCTTCCATTTTTCTCTTCCCCACAGGCGGAGTTCCCGACCCCATCCCCTCACTTGCCCAGAGCACCTGCCTCAACAGCAGCCCCTGTCTCAGTACCCTCTTGCCTTGGCCCTGCTCGGGCTTCTGGAGGCAGATGTGCAGCAGTTGATTTCCCATGGGTGCTGTGGAGCTGGAAGCAGGCGCCAGAGCCAGGATCTCCAGCAGGTCCTCACAAGGCAGCAGTAAAAGCCACTCAGAAGAATGTCTCTAAGCTGTCTCTGCTGCTTCCGTCACAAATGATCATAGCACTAGTGGTACATGCACCACGGCAGGAAAACCTCTGAGCCAACAGTATCATACCCTGTTATCAGAGTTTGAGTAAAGCTACTTCAGCAAGACAAACGAAAGAGTTTCTTGTTCAGGTTAATCCAGATTCACTATCTGCAGCTGCAGTAGACTCATAGCTTCTCTAAGGAGGAGAACGACCCCCACCATTCTAGTAAACATCACATATGTTTGTCTCCTTGCAAAGCTCACCCTTGTACATCAGATCTCCCAGGCTATAGGTGTCTCCTGTCAGGTTGGACTACAGCTGCAGTCCAAGGAGCATCAGGTGGGAAGAAAGGTTTGCAGACTCCCGTTCCCTCAAGTGATCCTACCAACAATTTTGGTCTCTGTCCTAGCTCTCACAGAAGCCATGAGAGATGCCAGCTCATAATAGAAATGGCCCCAGCCCCAAAGAAGCAAACGGGAGAATCTGGGGAATGTCCTCTCCAGCTGCTTGGACATTAGGGTAATGGGGACAACACCGCTACCTATCCTGCTATGGATGATCTGACCCTCTTCCTTTTGGACAAGCACAGCATTTAACAGTAGCTACCGTCCTGCCCTCATTGCTAGTATTGCAGAGCTACCACCATCTTTCTGGATCCCTTACCAGGATTCACATTCAGGACTAAGTTTAGAGTGAGGCTTTCCTAGTGATTGATTCTACAACACCAGGCAGGCTAGAAAGATGTTGAATGAAGCAGAAGGAAGTTTCGTGTGACCAGCTGGAGCAGCTGGAGCAATTTTCTGCGATGGCCTGAAGTTACCATATCCCTCTATGAGCAAAAAACGCAGCCAAATGTTTCTTCTGAACAGGAGGAAGTTGTTTCTGTGTGGTCCTGGGCCCAGGGGTCTGCCAGGCTGTTTTCTCTGCCTGCAGAAGGTCAGGACCAGATAAAAACTAGGAGATGTCTTGGTAGAAGGAGAGAAGCTGCCCAGTTAAGGTAGGAGAATTCCCTGCTTAGGAGGAGCTCGGTGCGATATGTTGCTCCAGTAAGATCAGTCATAGGACGTTGCATTTAATTCACTCAAGTGAGCAGCATGAGATCCTGTCAGTTATGGACAAACAAGGTCTTAAATTAGAGAGCAGGAGCAACTCTGAATGCTGTCCAGCAATAACTCCTTAGGAGGGCAGTCTGTGCTCGTTGGACTAAAAAGATCTCCTTCTGTCCAGTGGCCATTACAACAACCAGGCCGCAAGCCCCTCTCTGCACAGGGGACCAGCCCAGAGCCACGGGATAGGAAATTTAGAAGCAGATGGGAAGACACATGCGGTCATGAGAGAGCTGGACTGAGCAGATGCTTTTGGTCAAATGCAGGAAGTCCGGATGTGTGCAGTGAAGCAACGCTTCTTTGAATCTGGCACTCTTTTTGTTTAGCAATTCTAGTTTATGAGGAAGCCCACTTAGGGCTGTAATTAAGTTGCAGTGGTAGTAAGAAAAGTGGACACATGCCAAACACGATTTCTTCCTCAGCAGTTTCCCCATCAAACTGGATCCTTCCACAATGTCAGTGGAAGGTTTACTAAGGCCTTCTCCTAAATTTTGCAAACCAACTATGGTTTGATTTACTGTCACCCTAGCAACAACGACGTGAGCTTAACTGAGGCGAAGGGGAACTAAGGTGAGTATAATTCTCCCACGGCTCCTTTTCCAGCCACTGAGCTGGCCTTGTACCGCCTTTGCAGCAAAGTAGGATGCAGGAAGAGGGTGCGATCTCACTGCAGAGATAGATGGGAGGAAGGGGGAAGAGGGACAGCCACAGAGGTGGCCATCACACAAAGTGCAGACATATGCAAAGCTTGCATCATCCCAGGTGTGAGCTGTGGAGCCGCGTGAGGGTCCCTGAAGTTCCAGAAGTGGCTACAAGCTCCCCATGTCCTAGCACAAGAGTGAGTAATTAATATCTAAATCTGGAGGTTGTCCAAATCACCATAGGTGCATCAAAATCCTGCATGTTTGCACAGGTGAAGGTCTGACTCATAGCAGTCAACGAAGCATGAATTAAGGACTCAACTCAAGAAGAGCTTGGAAAGTTGATAATGATTTTACAGTATGGCTCTTCTCATAACTGCTTTTGGGAACTTCCTGACATTGGGGCGCAGAGAGAAGTCTGAACAGTCAAAAGACTGTTTGCCAAGTAAGCAGAGCGTGGTCAGGCATTCCAAAAGGAGAGTTTATTTTGCTTCTAAAGCATTTTGGCTGAGAAAATTGTCCTATCGGATAGAATTATGATTTGGGCCTTCAACAAGCTGCACTGCAATGTGATAAAGAGAGGAAAGTAACAGAGCCTTCATTCTCCTTTTGTATGGCAATTTGAAAATCAGCCTTATGAATCAGTTTCCAGATTTGTCCTCCACTTTGTGACTTCCACTAACAAAGGACAAATCAAGACTGTACCTTTTTAGGGGAGTCTCAGAAATCTCTGCAGATTGCAGGACATTTCATGATGTGGATTTCTTCTCCAGAGCTGCAGAAGGATTCAGATGTTGTTTCTATTTTCACCGTTTCACTTGAACTTGCTACACGGGATAGTTAATTTGTAGAGTCTGTGATCAGATGTTCATTTTCACCACTGTTTTTTTTACCCACAGTTGCTCCTATTTGTCTTATGGTGACAGTCCTAAAGTTTTGAGAACTTTTGGCCTCTGAGTAATAGGAAGTTTCCTGGTGGAAATCAGCATTTTGAGAGGTTCTGGAAACCTCTGTCATTAGTTAAGCCTGGGGATTGTTACCGTGCAGACACATTCTTATATTCACCTTTTCATGAGATGGAGGTAAAATATGTCAAAGAATGGAAACGCACAGCCACCCTGACTGTGGTCCTCCTGGGATGGCTTTCATTGCAATACTCAGCTGCATACCACCACGCCCGTTGCCCATCAGCATTCACTTGCAACATTTGATCAATAAAACCTGAGGTCCAAAAGGATAAATATACACTTCTACTGCACCAGCCCTGTGCAAGGATAACGAAGGCAGAGGACTTCTGGGGATGCCAGCAAGGCCAAGAACATGTCTGTTTTGCCTGACTTTATGCCCAAGATCAGCATGGCAGGAAGTGATAATAGGTATTTCTTTGCACAACAGGATGTTGAATGGAACCAACATTAGTTTTATTTTGCTCCAATCCTCCCTGAGGCTATGATCATGCTTACTTGCTGTTACACACGTGGACACATGTTTCCATGACAGGTCAGTGGATGTGGCCAATGTGCATACGGTGTTAAATGGAGCCTGGTGAGTTCCTGTTGTTTAGCAAACAAGCATCTACCAGTCTGGTCCATCAGAGTAAGCAGAACTGGGGCTGGGTGAGCAGCTATCTGGCAGCTGTTGTTTTATGGCCCACTATTTCCATCGCTTTGGACAGCAGATTGGCTCTCAGCAAGCTGTGTCATTTATTGCAGAGAAGTCAACAAAACCTACTGGTAACTGCCAGTAACTAGATTGTGAATGGCTTGTCAGTGCAAGTACCTGATTGCAAATACTTTTTTGTCTGCACTCAGATTACTTTTCAGTAACATGGCTCTGCGAGAGGAGTCATTCACAGAATCACAGAATAGCTGAGGTTGGAAGGGACATCTGGAGATCATCTGGTCCAACCCCCCTGCTCAAGCAGAGTCATCTAGAGCACATTGCCTAGGATCGCATCCAGATGGGTTTTGAATATCTCCAGGGAAGGAGACTCCACAACGTCTCTGGGCAACCTGTGCCAGGGCTCAGTCACCCTCACAGTAAAGAAGTTTTTCCTCATGTTCAGATGGAAGTGCCTGTGTTTCGGTTTGTGCCTGTTGCTTCTTGTCCTGTCGCTGGGCACCACGGAGAAGAGTCTGGCCCCATCCTCTAGACACCCTCCCTTCAGATACTTGTAGACACTGATGAGATCATCTCCCAGTCTTCTCTTTTCCAGGCTAAACAGGCCTACATGCTGCTTCTGGCAACCACATTGGCCTGTGTTTTTTTCTGGTCGTTGCTGTTTCCTTGAGGAATATCTTGCTTTCAGTTGACCAGTAAGATCTCATCGCTTTCGCTGTTACTGTGAGGCATGTTCTCATTGACAGAGAGTCCACTTTTGACCAAGTCTCTCAGCAAAGGCCTTGAAGGTAGCAGAGCAGCCATAGGAAAAGAAGGGAGATTTTTGGCATGAATAAACACCTTGCTAAATGATGGGAAGCAGAAAGGGAGAGGGGCCAGTCAGCTCTCACGGTGGAGGAGGTCCCGGGGATGGTGCTGCTCTGTAGCTACGTCATTAGTGACTGAGGCAAGGGCTCTGAGGTGACATGGGGAAATGGCCAACACCATGATGCTCTGTGGGCCAGCAGGGATGGGGAAGAGCTGCAGAAATGCCTCACGAGCCCGAGCGACAGGGTGATAAACAGGCAGAGGATGTCAGTGCAGATCACCACAAACCTGATGCACGTGGGGAAAACCAGTCCGAGGCTCACATAGGAAACATCTGCCTCTGAGCTGTCCATCACATCTCAGGAAGGGGAGCTGGGGGCAGTCAGAGATTATCCCACGAAAACAGTGGCTCAGTGCTCAGCAGTGATCAAAAAGCAACTCAGCTGCTAGGAGAAGAACTAGAGCAAAGCAGAGAGCATCCCTCTGCCTGGGATGTGCTGGGCTGGGAAAAAGATAACTGGGGGGGGGGGGGCAAGTCTACAAAAGCCAGAGAGGATGGGCAAGGATTGACTGCTCAGAGGCCTCCCAGAGAGGACACAAAGTGCCAAGGGGAGGCTCACAACAAGCAGGAGGAGGTGGCTCTGCATCCAACAGAAGGATGGTTCTGGAAGTCCTTGCCACCGACTGTCACGGATGCTCCTGCCTGCATGCGTGCAGGGGAGGCTGCGCAAGCAGAGTGAGGAGATCTGCTAAGACGCTGAAGAGCTAAACACACCAGCGCCAGGAAATCCGCCAAGTCGAAAATCATTGGAGGCTGGGAGGGGAAGTATCAGCTGTGCTTGGCCTCTTCCATGTGTGATGCTTTGGGTGACCTCTGAAGTGTGGGGAGCGAGGGGTGAGGGAGGAGAACGGCAGCTCTTCTGGGCTATGGGCTCCAGGCCGGGCAGCCGAGCAGCACCAGTGTTCGCCTAAACTCAGTGCATGAGGATCGAGAGGTCTTTTTCTGTGTGGCTGCTGCATTCGGCTTCCTTGGAGGGTCCTCTCATATACTGAGGTTAAATGTAGTATTATTTCAGCAGTCTCCTGTCTGCTTGTCCATGCACAAATCCTGCTCATGCCCGAGGCTTGGTTCCCAGAACACATTGTACCTTACTGCTTCTTTAGACAGCACCTCATCCCCCTCCCTGCTGGCTGGGGATTTCCAAAGAAACCACTATCAGAATCAGCTTAGGCAATTCCAGGATTTTATGCCAGCAGGAAACTGAACCCTCTAAGGCCTAGGAAGAGCAAACACTTCTGTCCTGCCTGCAGCAGGGCAGCCCCAGGCAGGAAAGGGCAGGGGGGACGGGGCTGGGGAGGGGGTGTCAGCCACAGGGCGAAGCATGCGTTTGCTCTCTGGCCTTTGAGCTTGTTTTGAGCCTTGCCAGATATTGGGGAGAAAAATTCCTTTCTTGCAAAACAGCTGTGGTTTTATCACTGTCCTAGCTGAAATGCAGTGGTTGATTGTGTGATTGCTCCAAAGCCGTTTCACTGTGAAGGAGAAGAGGTTTGCTGGGGAGCGGTCCTTGACACTACTTAATTTACTAGTGTGCCAACAGTGAAGAACAGCTTTTTTTCTAACACTGGACAAGGATCTTTATTAGAGCCAAAAGACAGAGCAAGATCCCTGTGGCTGTCCTGCTCTCGTGGCATCCCACCATGGCGCCAGCTCCAGTTCCTAACCTGGCCAGCTGGGACTTTTACAAGATGTGCACCTTTCCTCACCACCCACCAGCACAGGGAAATACATACATTAAGTCTGGAGCTTTTAGGAAGAGAGATCTAATGCATTGGAATTACTTCAATCAGTGAGATTTAGGGTGCAGAAAAACAACACTAGAAGGAGCAAAAGTGAAATCTCTGTGAGTGCAAACCTCTCCTTTGACTTGGCTGCAGAGCAAACTGCAGACCAGTTGAATAGGGAACAAGCACTTAGAGACTTCTGGGAGCGAGGAACGGAAAGTAAAAGGCTTTACGATCAGAGCTGCCAGGCTGTGCTTTATCTTTAGGGAATAAACTTCCAGTTTGCAGCCAAAATAGTTATGGTCCTTTGGTCTAGGGAACTCACTGAAAACCTGAGCTGTTAACCTGCAAAACTGCAGATCTGCTATCCTTGCAGCTTCAGGGACTGAATGAGCCTTGAAGCACTTCAGGGATTTATTTCAGCGAGTCTCTTTCATGAACCTGGAATCTCAGATAGAGCAACAAAATAAAAAAGGGAATTGCTTATTATCTTGGTTTTTTTTCTCTTTTTTAAAGAAAGAGATGCTGCCTGTGGCCCATGGTGGGATGGCTGGGACTGTGGGGCTGACTGTTCCCCTGTAACTCTGATCTGGTTCTGCAGGACATTGCTAGGCAGGATTTCTGCTTTTCACCTGTGCATGTTAAATATAGGGCTGCCTGGACTCAAAAATCCCCCCGTGTATGGGCAGCGTACAGGATTTGAGCTATCTCAGCACACAGCTCTGCCATGCACTCAAAGATTAAAACGAGCCGCGTGGAAGTTTGCTCCGCCACGACGAGTAGGGCAGGCTCCACACCTCCCGAGCGCGTCCCGCTTCTACCGATAACGTTTTCCACAACGAGGGTCCGAAGCACGCGGGGAAGCCACCCACCAGGCGCAGGGGCAGGACTAAAGCAATGGGGTCCATTCTCCCTACTCCCACCGCCCTCCCTTGGCGGAAACCCCTCTCCCAGCACCCACTGGCAGGGTTGCACCACCGTCAGCACGCTGTATGCCCACGCACCTCCGTCTGCGACTGCCTGGGAAGGAACCACTGGGCCGGGGTGGGAGAGACTTGCTTGGGAAGTTGCTCTGCACATGCCTCTCCTGCAGAGCAGATTTATTTACCTGCACCTGATTTTTTAAAAACCAGCTGTGAGGATGCCACTGTTTCCCTGGATAAGCTCATCCAGTGACCCACTAGCCTGCTCCTCACTGCCCTGTACATCTGCGTTTAACCCGTTTTAAATGCTGCCTTGAAATGCACCTGCAGGCATGTGTTTTACAGTGAGTGGATGCAGAGCTTCGTGGTCAGACAACCACTTCAGCAAAAAAAGCAGGAAAACGGATTAAAATCCAGGAGGCAGATAGCTGCCCACTGTTTGGCTACCACGAAGGAAGAAAAACTTACCCTCAAGCCAAGGAAGGAGGCAAATGCAACTGAAACTCAGCTTGAAAAGCTCCATTGTGTCCCGGCACGCGGAAGGGGGAAAGGAGCCTCTGAAACGTCTCGCCCGCAAGGAGCGCCAAGCGGTTTGGTTTTCCCCCTTTCTCTGTCATTCAAAGCAGAAAATCCTACTGGGAAGAGAAAACTCCTCTTTTGTCTTCACGCTGAAGACTCGGCACCAGGCTTATCAGCAAAGGATCGGCTTGGAGACGCCACCCCAGTCAGCGGTTATCCCTTAGGACAAATCAAATGACGGTCGGGGATGGGGGGGGACGCTGGACCAACATACTCGCAGCCACCGAGTTTGGCTCCTCGGCAGCTGCAATTGCTCCGGAGCAACGAGTGCTGAACGCTAAAAAGGCTGGCTGGCTGCCTTCGCGAGCGCGGGGGGGTGGAGGAGGATGTCGGGCTTGCTTGGTAGGAAGAGGAAAAATGCAGCGGGAGTGCCTGGAGGGACGTGGGATGAGCGCTAAAACCATGCCCTACGTGGTGGCTGGAGCTGCCACAGATGCGTTTTCTCCTTAGGGAGAATTATCCCCACAGAGCTGAGTTTAAGCCATGCTACATGCCAAGGTGAAACCCCTCAGACTGGCTGCTTGGGGTATTTTTGCAGGCAGAGCGTGTCCCGCGGTCGGAGATGGAGAAGAGGCGAGAGGGGGGAGCATCACGCCTGGCCCAGGAGCAGCCGGATGCGGGGGACCTGCCTGCGGGGCTGCTCTGACGCGCGAGTCGCTTGGGGCAAGTTTGTTTCTGCGTGCATTAGTTTGTGCTCTGTGTGGTTGGAAAAACCACCCTTCCCGCCCGGAGGGACAGCAGCAAAGGCTGCCGAGCAAAACAGCGACAGGGGCGGCCAGAGAAATGATTTTACTAGAGAGATGCTCTCATTCAGCTGCATGGTTGTGCGCGTTTGGCTGTCCCACCTGCTTGCTGGGATCATTCCCAGCGGGATAGATCCTTAATGCAGGAGATACCTTTTGCATAAAAACACATAGAAATGATGATTTTGCTTTTACTTGTGGGATGCAGTCCTGGATGGCACCAATATCATCTTTCCTACGTCACGCTGGAGTTATGTTCATGAGATCAGGAGTCGCTCAGAGAGCTGGGAGCGGCTTCATTTAGGGTCTGAGCTGCCAAATTAAAACACCACGGCATTAGCATCGGCGTAATGTCACAGCAACGCGGGAATGGCTCTGACCAGACACCTGTAAAGGTGCAGTTCCCCAAAGCCCCTTTGCCGTCCATGCCCGGCCTCGGGCTGACAACTCACAACTTTCCCACAACTTTCCCACTCTCCGGTGGGGTATCTGGCTTCAACTGTCTCTCACTAGCCAGATGCGGACGTGGTGGGGATATCCTACACCCAAACAAAAGGGAAACTTGGGGTAAGTTCTTGCCCTGGCAAGGTTGTTCCTGCCCGGCTGCAGCGCTGCCCTTAAGAGAAACACTGCACAAGTAGGATTATCGGTTTCTTTTTCCCATAGTCAAGTTGCACTAAATACCAGGCATTTTTAATTAAAAAGCGCACATATTTTAAGTTAAGCTCTCCTCCGCATTATTGCTTTGCTTCTAGGGCTGAAAATGCAAACTCTTTCCATCACATTTGCTGAGGAAGTGAGTCTCCCCCACAGGAGAGGAGGACAGAGAAGACCTTGGTTTCCTTCCTGGGGATTGAGGTGTGTCCCAGGCAAATGGAGGGCGTTACAGCAGATATCCTGCTAGAAATGTCACTGTGCTCTTTTACCACGGACGCTGCTGCTGTCTTACTGCTTTATTGCAATTTTCAGCTCAGGATTTTCCAGTTCTGGTGTGTTTTATTCAGTGTCCCAGCAGATCTCCTCCCCTTGTGCAACGGGCAGCCCTGAGCCTCATATTTTACCCTTTGACCACCTCCACTGGGAGAACGGACCGCTTCCCCATCCTCTCTGCCTCCCATCATTTAACCCGGTATTTAACCTTGCCAGGACCTTCCCGCCTATTCTGAGTCTGCTCTGCTCCCTACAGGGCCTTTTCAACTCTTTCCGAAGCCTTTAGGAAATCCAAGTGGACTATTTCAGCTGAACCATCCTTATTCCCACGCTCATTGACTCTTTCAAAGAAGTCCAAGAGGTTTTTAAGGCAAGGCCTGCTGACTCTTCCTAAAGAGCTCATATTCATCCAAACACCCACTAATTCTGGTTTTTGTTACATTGTCTACCAATTTGCAGGTTCGCAGGCCTGTGTGCCCCAGCTCTCCCTTGCAACCTATTGATTTCCCTTGCTGAGCATCTGCAATCAGTCTGCCAGCGTTGGGGTTGGGGGGGCTTTCTGTTTTCTTCACCAGGATGTGATTTCAGCTTTTTGAAGGGTATGTTCTTGCTTCTAATAATCTCTCCCACCTGCTGTTTGGTCACTGTCACTTCCTTTGCCCTTTCTCTAACTTTTCTTATAGACGGTGTGTATTGGCCCCGTGCTTCCAACGTGGTGTCCTTACACAGCCTCCGTGCCTCTGGCGAGGCCTTATTTCCCTGAGCGTCCCCTTTTACCTTCTTTTGAACAAGCTTCCTCTCTTTTGTTCAGTTCTTCTTTCTGAATTTGAGTGCAAACGTGGTAGTTTTTTGGTGTTCGTTGCTCCTGTAGGGAATTAGGCTGTCATGGTAGAGGGTGGGCCTTCAGCTGCAAGACAGAGTCAATCCTTTGCAGTCACTGGTGTCGCTGTCATGGTTTGTCCTTGTCCAAAAGTGCAGCCCGAGCCTTTGCAAATGGGGCTGTGCACAGAGAAGTGTTAGTGCCCTAGGGAAAAAAAGGGACTAAGACTTTTAAACTTTGTTCCCTCTGCCTCTGCAGGAGTTACTGATGCTCAAAGCAGTTTTGCAGCTCAGCTCGGCTGTCCCCTGGGTAAGCTGTGCTGAGTGGTCAACCACTAGTGTCGAGGGCGTCGAGGGCTGCAAAGCGCCAAGCCCCACATCCCTCCTCGCCGCTGGCCGTGCTCGCGCCAGCTCCAGGCCACGCACGTGCTCCAGCTGGGCACGCAATGTAATTCAACATCCAGAGCCTCAAAGGCAAACCGCTGTGGTGGCATTTGGGCAACTGCAAGCTGGAGTTACTGATTAAAGGTGTTGTTTCAGGAAACAATTGCAAGGGCAACTTTGCACAGGGTTGGAGCTGGATGTTTTCCCAGCTACACACCCATACCTGATACTTTCATCCTGATGTTGATTTTAGGGCACTATAAGAAAAGGCTTTGCCCTTTGAGTGCAAACCCCTTTTTTTCTGCCTTTGACAATTCCTTAGTGAGCTATAGGACATTTAAGCTCCCACTGAACTCGCCCACGCTAGCACTGGATTGAGGGGATCCTGAACCAGAGACCGATGACGTTCTTGAGCCCCGCAGAAAAGTGGTCAGCCTGAAAATGCAAGTGTCAGCACAGACCGAAATAAACCAGCTTAACATCAGCTACCGATATTTTTAGTTTTCAAGAAAGCGTATCATTCTTCTCCCTATCCGACAGACTCATGTGGAGAACAGCACTGTTCTGCTCCACTGTTTTGAAAGCCAGCGTACTTTTACACAGCCTAGACACAACTGCCACCTTAGTTCTTACATATGCAGGACAGTATTTACGTGTAAAATTGCTCTGTAGCCATTAGAGCCCATTTTCCTGCAATAAATTCACTTGCTTGTGGCATGGCTTAGCCTAGCACATAAGGACACTTTTTCTGAATCCTTTCCACAGCTTTTCCTGGGCTGCCCATAGGACAGAGCAAGCTACCCTCCAGGCGTGGTGTTTCCCATGCTGAGCAGCATGGTCCCATAACTGCTGGCTTGCAGTCATGTAATCTGCACTTACAGTTAGTCCTTGCCCACCCCAGACCCCTGAAACAGCTTTGTTTTTGGCCGCATTACCCGTTGGATGGTGACTTTGCTTTTTCTTTTCATTTTGCACCTCGTGGTGAATTTAATCAGACTGAAATTATATGGAACTGGAAATATTGGGGTACCAGGTCTCAGGACTAGTAGGTGGTATTGTCAGCCCACCTCTCAAACTGCAGAGACCGCTCACCAATCACCAAAACGCAGCCTCAGCCGGCATTGGCCAGCAGCTCGGGAGAGCGAGCGGAGGTCCATGTTATGGCAGTCTAAAACCAGAGGGAAATTCGAGGAGGAAAACAAAGGCAATCAAAGTTAGGATTGCACCCCAGCCTTGGGGCCAGCCATCCTATGTGTGACTCTGGGAACGTCAGTGAGCTGAGCCCCAGTTTAAAATCTGAGCACAGCTCTGCAGCTCCTAGTGTTGTCCCGGGGAGGGATGGCAAGTTGCTCCATGGCCACATGGAGCGCCGTCTCATCCCAGAGAACCAGGACAGCCTGGTCCAACCAGGCATAGACCTTCTCCCCTTTCTGCCAAGC